TGTGCGCGTGCTGCACCCATCGTGCACCCAACTTGCGTGCCTTTGCGCTTCACATCCACGTACGCCACCTCGTGCTCGGTCATGCGCGTCTTGACCTCGTGCGATAAGACCGAGGCCAAGTGTGTGTCCACGGCTCACGTCGCCTTCCTCTTGAACCTCGCATACGAGCTCGTTCCCGTCTTTTAGGCCATGCCTGTGTAGTTTTGACCTTTTTCTCGGCCTTCTCGGATCACCTCGGCCATCGGATCTCGGCGTGCTCGGGCCTCGAAAGCCACATCTTCTTCATTCCTCCCCCCTTTGAATGAGTCCTTGTCCTCAAGGACTCGCCAATGACCATCACTTGGGGCGTCTCCACCTCTTCATCCGCATTGTCCTCTATGTGCGTCCCGTCATCATGGCCTTCTTCGACCACGACCAAAATCTCCTCCTTGACCTCGAGTCCATCGGCCTCATCGAGATAAACATCGAAAATAGGTGGCCCTTCATAATCCGTTGACTCCTTCACGTACTTGGTGACCTTCATGTCCTCAAAATATCTAGAGAATTCAAACGGGAAGATGGGATCCTTGTTGAAATACCCCGAAAACTCGAATGAAAAAGTGGGCTCCTCATAAAAAAAATCCTGAAAATTCAAATGAGAACGTTGGTTCCTCGTCGAAAAATCATGGAAATTCGAATGGAAATTTTGGCTCCTCACACCGTTCTTCGATCCGACTTTCACCCTTTTCAGACTCGCCTTGGCCTACGCTGGTCCCTTGTTGGTTGCACCACTCCACCATGCGGCTCTCGGACCAAAATCGATCAGTTGCCTTGTCCCTGTGGATCGCTCGGTTGCATTTGGTGCCCCTCTTGGTTGTTTTGCGGGACATGCATTTGGTAAATTCTCGAACGCTTTTCTCAACTGCTCGAGGGCTTGATTTCTATCTTTCTCCCATGTCTCGAATTGATCCCTCCTCTCCAAATTACTCATCAACATTTTTTTTTTATCTAAACGAAAAGAAAAAATTCAAAAGAAAATGAATAAAATGAATGAGGAAGATAAAGATGATATAGATACACGATCGACTCTCTCAATGAAAGCACCAATGATAAAGATCATGTATCTACCTCTACTCAATTTTCCTTGAAAGTTGTGTTGCCACGACTCCCTTCTCGGCAATTGCTTCGAAACCCGCGTCGACGCTTGATTTCTAAGCGATAGGTTGTTAATACCTGCGCCGACGCCTTCGTACTTCACGACAGTTGTGAAGAAACCCGGATGTTGGTCCTATTTCTAACACGATTTTGTATGTAAACTCACACACAAGAGTTGGTGAACAAACTTTCGATTTTCTATTAATTTCTTCGATATGAAAAATAATAAGAGCACAAGGATATTTATAAGAGAAACTAGATCTAGTCCTAAGAGAGCTATAATTATAACTAGGAAAGAATATAAAATCCTAAGGCAACTCAATATCCTAACATCTAAGAATTACCATTCAAGTAAATAACTAATAGGCACATGCCTTTATTTAAGATCTTCTAATCATACTAGAAAGCTAATAAAATCAGATTTCTTGCTTGCCCTTCACTCCAATCGGTCACGCCCCAAAACCCTAGCCGCCAGCGCGCCCTCGTGCTGCCCCTGGCTGGCCCTGGG